AGAGAAAGAACGAGAGAACTCTAAGCCTCTGTTGCTTTGTACTACTTACCTGTGTTTCTTGGACCATGCTTATGCACAGATTTTCTTTTCAAAACTGTCAGAATGCATTTCCTATTTCGCCACCACAAGATCCTGGCTGGCACCCCAAACACTGTTTGCATAGGCTCTGTTCTGCACAGGCCAGGCCAGGGAGCAGCCTCAGTAATGGCTTCTCAGGTGACATTAAGCCTGCTGATGAGTGAAGCCTGCCTCTACCAGACCTTCTGCTCTAAGGAACTGGGGGAGGGATGCTGGAAAGCAATTGTTAGGCTGGGTGTGAGCTCTGTTCCAGGTCTAACAGAAAATGCAGAGCAGAAAACTGGTAAGATAACCAGTATTCCTAACTAATACTGTCTATGCTTTGTGGGCATGGACACATTAGGTCTGCATTTAAACCTCGGAAACTTCTATCCACCTCTTTTATGAAAAAGACTCTGAACTTAAATTACCTGTGTGGTTATGTTGATCATGACAGAGCCAGGCCTAAAGCCCACAGCTATCTATTGCCAACACTCTTGAGACTGCATGGTGCCTATAACAGCCCAGAGAAAGCTGTTTACCTCTGTAGCACCTAGAAAGCAATGGTAGCCTTTCCAATGGAGGATCATTGTGAGAACATTGGATCACTGGATTTATTACAAGAATAATAGAAGTATCACTCTGTCCGTATGCACTAAGCCAAGGAAAACCACACAACTAGGCAGCCAGAAAGAAGATCCTCAAGAAAGCCTGACCATGCTGATACCCTGACCTCAGACTTGTAGCTCCTGAATTGTAGGGAAAAAGTGTGTATCACTTATGTTACTCCAGGCTGTAGTATTTTGCTTTGTCAGCAAAAACAAAATGATACTAAATCTGTGAGTTTCTTTCCTCCACCAAAAATTTCCTTCACCTATAATTTCCAAGTGCCTGCACCTCATCCAGTCTTCCACATACAATCCACCCTGTCAGTGCAGCTTCAAGAGAATGTGGGCAAGGAACACTGTCTCCTCCCACAGTACCAGATTCCTGGTATCATCTGCCACAAGAACTAATGTCAGACCAACCTTACCCAACACACTGCATTTTCACCGTCTGTGAGGAGAAGGACTCCTGATTCTCTTCTATCCCTATGGCATTAGCATGTCACTTGGCATGGGACACATACTGCAGATGACGGCTCGAGGTAGCACTCTCTGGTTAGTGCCAGAAGCCTAGTGGGTGGCCAGGATCCAAAGCAAATTAAAGAACTACCAAACTCACTTGTGTATCCTGGACACCACCACCACCCCATCCTCTTACCTGGAGTCCTTGTTCTCTGGCATCTAGATCCTCCCTACACATTTCCAGAATTGGTTCCTTTTTCTAAAGCTACAACTTGCAGAATGATTACTAGTAACAAAAAAGTAGTTAGTCATCATGGGACTATTGTCTGCCGTCTGTGATTCCCTCATCAAGAACACTAAAGAAAACCCTGTGGTCAGCAGGACAACAGGGACAGAATTATGCCCCTGGCCTCTCCCTGAGAGACCAGAGGAGCTGTGTTGCTATGGTCTTCCCCGGAGCAAGATCGAAGGATGGCTGCAAAGCCTTTCTAATATAGTCAAATCGTTTTCCTATTATTTTTCTCAAATTTAAAATGTAGAAATCTTTCAGTGAGAAAGAATATGTTTAAAACTCCAGTATTCTTTGCCATTCTTCCCTCTTTCTTGGGGTGTATCATAATACTGCTGTTGGTTTACTTTGTGAACCTGAGCTATTTGATTTGTATGTGAAAGAGAGACTTCAAAGAAAATACTTTTAAAAACACTGTCTACTTTCAAACACAAAGCAATTGAACAGTTTGCCAAAGGCTACGAAACTGGTCAGTGAATAAAGGTAGACTCCCAGATCACCTGTTCTTTGATTAGAACTTTTTTTTTTTTTTAAACAATGTCTCTCTATGTAATCTTGGCTGTTCTGGAATTCACTATGTAGATCAGGCTGTCCTTGAACTCACAGAGACCCGCCTGCCTCTGTCTCCTGAATGCTGGGATTAAAGGCATGCACCATCACACCTGGCAAACACTTATTTCATAATTGTACCTATGGCCAAGGTCACTTTCCTTCTCTCTTAATCTGCTACATTTATGTATGTATTTGTGTGCGTGCACTTCTGTGTGCACATGTGAGTACACCACAGTGCTTATGCGCCAATAGTGCTTATGTGACAGTCCCAGGACAACTTACAGAAGTTGATTCTTTCTTTCTGCCACGTCTCCTTCCCATCTGGGTTCCAGGGATCAAACTCAGGTTGTCAGGGTTGATTACAAACACCTTTTATCCACTACTCACCTCACCAGACTCCTCCTACTGGTCCTGGAGCCCGACTCAGCATCTGAAAGCGGACAATGTTTTAGAAAGAGGTTGTTTACTGAGGTCACACCTGCTCCTGACTTCCTGTCTCCCGCTGCAGACTTCAGCCACCGTAGAACCACACAGCCAGGGCAGTCCCATCCCTCTGCTGCAGTGCTCTAGAAGGAGACTCTGGGAATCCAGTTAACCAGTGTATCCTGGAAGGTGGGCCAGGTATCCTGACCAGTACTCACCTTAGGACTTGGGGTCAAGGTAACAACAGTCCAGTGGTTACAACTCCATCAGGAAGGTAGGCGGAAACTCTGTAGTGTAAGTGTCAGCTGATTAACTGTGCACATCCAGGAAGACTCTTGTGTTCCATGATGATTCTACAAACTTCCTACTGCTTTTGGAAATTTGCAAAGCAGTTCAGAACGGTATTTGATCACCCAAGCCCTGGAAATGAGTGGGGAAATGAAATAGAACCAAGGCCTGCCTTCAACCTGGCATCTTTCACAAACCCCACAGGCAGCTCTCCTAGTGCTTGAAGCCCTGAGCATCAAAGTCAGAATATGTGTGTTCCCCAGACTTGCTCCCCTAACCCTAAGGGAAGCACTCGCCCCGTCCAGCTGACTGTTCATGTTCACTACGTCACTCTCTACCACAAGCCCGCCTGAATTCCCACCGGGTCCCGGTATACGTTCTGAACCTCCCAGCCCTACTTCCTACAACATCCGAAGTGTCCCACTGATTACAGCCAAGTGTGAGTAGGTCAGGGTCTCACCAGCTCTTACAGATTCCTTACAGATAACAACCTCGGGTTCTGCAGTAGGCAGTCTTATGGCTACAACTCTTTAATACAAGGTAACCAAACTGTCCTTTGCCCATTTGCATCTTCTCCAGTCCAAAGACCTAAAAGTAGTGGCTTCCAGCAGGGTTACCTTACTGCACTGCTGATGAGATGTATAAACTCACTCTATACGCAGGTAATAGGTAATCAGTGCTATTCCTTGGGATAGCAAGACCCCAGGGGACACTGCTTCAGGAGGCTGAATGCAGTGAGTATAACCCATGTTCTCACACTCTGCTAATTTTCCAGGACCAGGAGCTGGTGTCTTTGAGTTGATATTGTGTCTGTGCCAGCCAAACTGGCCCCTTTTAATACCTTTTGAATTACTGAATTGTCATCCAATAATGGCATTTTAACAATGAAGTTTCAAAGAAAAAAACCCTAGTTCTTAATTTTTGCCTGAAGAAGTGGGGGGAGAGTTCCAATTAATGGCATTGTTATAAATTCAAAAGTGGTAACCGTTTGGCTATGATACAAACTACATAGATAATAACTATAATAAAAATGTAAGTGGAAGCTTTATCAATAAGGTAGGTAGTGGAGCACAGTTTTCTCAGTTGGTATCAGAAATGGCATTGCACAGCCATGTGCAGAATTGTCACAATGCAAGTCTTTAAAATTCCTTTTGGATTTAAAGGTATTAACAGGTCCCTATCAACATTCTCCAAAAGTTTTTGATGTCATTTTAGCTATTGAACAAAAATATGTGAACTATTACTTTGTTGATTTTGTTCTTAAAGCACACTGCATTATCATCTGAGAATGTGTTCTTAAAATATTGTTAAAAGTACTTTGAAAACTTGTAAATCCCAGTAATTTATGTTTCTCCTGCCTCTGCTGTTTCACTCTGTCCTTCTGGTTTCAATTTGAACGCCATCCTGTCTGGGTATGTACCTGTAACGTTGTGTTCTCCCCCCACCCCACCCCCAGTACAATTTACAGTCCTGACCTTCAGCTTTTCCAGTGTCCCTAATGTTCTCGGGTTTCCTCCCATACTACAGAGTGGGCTTTGGCTCACCCTGCTCTTTCATATTAGAATTGTCTAATCAAAGTTACTTGAAACAGATCTGATTTTGGCATTTCTTAGTTTATCATTTCAGCCTAGGGAGTGAATTAGGAGAGCTTCCCTGCCAGCCCACTAATTGCATTGCCCTATTAAAGTGTACACAGTTGTAAACCCAGACTGCTGCAAGACAACAGTCTCGTTTATCTAAACAGTTCTCCTTTTAGACTCAGTGGCACTGATGGAAGCCAAGATAAGGAGTAGGGATTGGAGGAAGGATCTTTTAGAGCCTGCACTCGCTGAAACCATTCCATCCCCTACAGTCAGCCCCCTTCTCTTCCTAGGACTTGTCTACATAAGGAACACATCTAGCTGCACGCAGTGTCTGCAGTGAGCTAAGTTAGGCAGAGACTGCAGTGGGCAGGGCCACTACAGACACTGTCTTACTTTCTTAGGAACAGGAGACTGCTTTGAGGACCTGAGTGTGCTCCGTTCAAACTGCGAGTCCTAAATCTGTTCCCTAGGCGACAGCTCTCTCCGTGGAAGTTGTGCCCTTCGTTGTGGATTGTGATTATTAAATGACCACAAAATCTTTGGAATTTTTTTTTAATTGAGAAATGAGGTTTCTAAAAGTTTGACTCTTTTCAAATATCACTTACATTAAGCTCTGGTAAGGAATCAAGTGCCTTTCTCTTTCTTTACCTCCTTCAGCATGGTCCCTGGTTCAGACCAACAACAGCTGACTATGGGGCAGGCCAGGGTTTTGGCAGTCGACTATCTCTTTCTCTCTTGTAGGTAATTGTACAGTCCGGCCGCCACCCAACGGTGCTGCAGAAGCTCTGCCAGCTGCCTTTCCAGTATTTCAGTGACCCAAGGCTCATCAAAGTGCTGTTCCCTTCTCTTATCGCTTCATGTCACAACAACCATCAGAACAAGCTCATTCTGGAGCAAGAGATGAGCTGTGTTTTACTGGCCACATTCATCCAGGTACCTTCAGCCTTGTTTCTCCTGTTTTATGGGAAAGTTGTGAGACCGAGAAGTAAATTCGAGGGAGCTTCATTCTCCCTCCACCTGTGTCTGTGTTGCAAAACAGTTCTAAGCCTGAGGTCACATTACTAGAAGCAGGGTGGATTGCCGAATGCTTCTGCCCGGAGGATTTCAAGCAAAGAGCTTGTTTGCCATTGATAAAATGAAAACGTGTACCTAGAAAAAACTATTTAACAGGACACCAGGCTCTTTTAAGGCTGTGACTGGCACATGTGTCTGCTTTTTAGTCTTGCTACAGAGAATAATTGGTGAAGAAAGATAAAAATTTGAGTTTATTTGAACATTTTAAAAATAAGTATGATGTGCTTAATACTAAAATTGGAACGATACAGAGAAGATTAGCATGGCCCCTGCACAAGGATGATTTTTTTTTCAAATTCATGAAGCGTTCCATATTTTTGTAATAAAACTTGAACATGTATAAGTTGAAAATAATAAATAAATATTATTTGCATATGTGTACAAGGGGGAGATAAAACCTGTTTGTTTTGGTTTTTTTCAATCTAAAAGTTTGAAGTACAAACTTGTATTTAATCCAACAAAATTCTGTAAGATTGAAGTCAGAATCAGTGCCGTAGGAAGCACTGACACTGGCTGTACATTAGCTCACTGGGCTGGCAGAGTGAAATCAAGGTGACAGCTCCAAACTAGGGTTTTTCATATCTTTGTGGATTATTTTATGAAATGTCTCTTTTTTTTTCAAATGTTCCACTCTTAAAATTGCTCCCTGCTGCACATACTTCCTGTTCTTCCTAACAGTGAAACAGGAAGCAGAGTTGTGTGTGTTGTCGCTGTGCTGGCTAGTGCTCAGATAGCTCTGTCAGAGTGTGAGTATGTGCAGCTGCCTGGGAGCCACAGAGGAGAGCCGAGGACTTCCGGGCGGGCCGGCTTTATCACATCAATACTTGTCGATCTCTATCAACGATCAGTTAATAGCACAGCTCGGTCAATGAGATGTAGAAATATTTTCTTTCCAGTTTAGTTGTTACATTTGAATCTGGGACCTATTTTCTGAAAATGCATTCAAGTTATGTATTCAGATTTGTAAGCGTGATTTCAAACTGGCTCATGATTAAATTAAAATCTTAATAAACTCTAACACTTTAAAGCTGTCACTTCAGCACAGGGCTCTTCATCTGGTCTCAGAGACTCTGTCATTAAGTAAGAATTCACAGTAGACATTTTCAGATGTGATCTTTTCTGTTCAAATCACTCACTCAGTGTTGGGCTCTGCTGTAGACCCTGGAAACATGAAACAACAAAAAGACCAAGTAGCACAACAGCCTGGAGGTAAATGCTACGGAGAAAGGCCAAGGCCAGGGATTGAGGGAAGCTTTTTAGACCTTAACTGGAGAGGCCTTAACTGAGACACGGTTCCATGTGTGCCACAATAGTTCCTTAAAAAATACTTTAAAAATATAAGAACTCAGGAGGTTGAGACAGGAGGATGACACAATGAAGCCATCCTCAACTGTGTAGTGAGACTGTCTCAAAAAACACTATGAATGAGATCCAAATGTATGTATGTATGTATGTATGTATGTATGTATGTATGTATGTACATACATACCATTTGGGGATAATATCACAACTATTCCAAATAAACCATATTTAATACAGTTTTGCTAAGTGGTACAGAAATAACTTTGTTTTTAATTTGGGGTAGCATTATGATACTAGTGATGTTGAATCTTTTTTTTCTATGTAATTGTGCTCAAGAAAATTAGTTTCAGTTTCAACTTATAAATGTGTCATGGTTCCATATATAGATTATCAATAATCACTGGATAGTAATGTTAAAATGAGATTATAGCCTGTCATTGGTTTCCGAAGATTTATACCTTATATATTACATTTTTTCAATTTCCATCTAAAAGTAAAGTGAGCAGACTGTAAGGTTTAGATGCACAACACTTTTTTTTGTTCTTTTTGTTTTTGTTTAGCTTTTTGAGACAGGGTTTCTCTGTGTAGCAGTCCTGGCTGTTCTGGATTATAAGGACTCTTATATCCATAGTTTGTAAAATGCTTGCAAGAGTAAAGGCACACACCTCTATGCAAGCACTCACACGTCTGAATAAGGCAAGGGGATCGCTCATCTGAGTCCAGCCTGGCTTAGAGTTATAAAATCATAACCTCCTACACCTCCCTCCCCCAAAAAAAACTTTTAAAAAAATCTCTTCTTGGCTTAAAATAGTACATTTGGCTTAGGTTTCAGGTCTTGGGTATACAGTGGTGGCTGTAGACAGTACTCTGGCCCTTACAGTTGTGGTTGTAGACAGTACTCTGGCAGTGCTCACGTAGGAGACTGAGTTTCAGCTTTCAAGAGTCTGGCCGCACAGTCTCATTCTCCGCTGCTGCTCTGTGCTCCAGATAATTGGTGGGGCCATGACACGTGATGAGGGGGACCTTGTGCAATTCTGAACAGAACATTAGTCTCAACTCACTTCTCTTCTCACACAGGACTTTGCACAGACTCCGGGTCATGTGGATAACCAGTCATCACATCCCAAAGGTGGGTCCCACTGAGTCTAAATCCCACGAGTGTGTCAGCTAAGTGAATGGCCTTGCATTCCTTTTTCCAGAACAATTAGAGAATTCCTGTGTCACCTCAAGTATGTGAGGTTCAGACACCAAATACTTAAGGAGTAAAGAAATCAACTATATTGTTTCAATCTACAGAGACTTATAGAAATAAAGAAAACCAGATGGTTATCTTTGTGTCCTTACCTAATACAAGATCTATTAAATGCTGACTAATTACTGTCAACAGGGAAGCCAGTCATATAACATTACCATTGGCCCACGCAAATCAGCATAAGTGCGTCAATCCCTAACATGGGTTCTCTGTCCACGTTGAAATAATAGTGCCATGACAATAGCTAGACCCCAAATTCAAGCACTTGACCTATTTTAATTGAAAATACACTTTACATTGAGAAGCATTAACATCCCATTAGCAGAGTTCTGGAAGTAAAGAATCTTCGGGCATTTGTTCTTTTTGTTCCTGCTGAGGTGTTCTCCTGGTAGAGATGTAGAATTTTAACCTTCATTTTTAGGATCTTAAATATCTTAAACTAGCCTGCTACCCAGGCTATAATTGAGAAGTACAGTTTGGTCTCTGACGGTTGTGGCAGAATCTCTGATTAATGAGTCCCACTCTAGATTTTCCCCAAGTCCTCGTATGTTTGATAGTGATGAGTGTTCTTCAGAACTAGACACAGTGTCATACGTCTGTAATCCCAGCACAGGCAGGTAGAGACAGAACCCTTTCAAAGTCACCTTTACCCGTATAGTGAGTTTGAGGCCAACCTAGGCTACATGAGAACCTATCTCATGAAATGAAATATATAATAGTAGTTGTTCTTAGGCTCACTCCTAACCTATAAGATTCTTTATAGCACCCATCAAGAAGCCTTTACTTGGAGACAATTTGGCTGTCATACAAAAAAAAAATCTACAGTAGGCAGGTGTTGCAAAGTACACAGAAGAAAATACAACAAAACTGTTACAGTATCATTTAAAAAAAAAAAAGGGAGGCTTTATTGACTCAGGTACTCAGAAAAGTAAACAGAAAGCTATGGGACTTCTCAGAAATTCAAGTCAGCACCATTGTTGCCGGTAGACTCGGTGTGCAAGTTCAGGTCTGCCCTCAGCCACAGCCTCTGGGTCTTTTTTCTTTTTCTTTTTCTTTTTCTTTTTCTTTTTTTTTTAAGCTACTAGAACATGTGAGGGAAATTAGTCCGGTTTGTTACTATTTCTTACAAAACAAGTGTTTAATTTTTAAACTTATGAAAATACTTTTGCAAATATTCTAATGTATTTTTTTTAATTAAACAACAGTATTTTGCCAGTATAACTATGTAGACGTTTTTCTTTTGCCCTAAAAAAGATGAGTCACCATTGAAGTGTGTGGAAAGCCAAGTCCCAAAAGATGAAGCTGCCTCCTTTTGCTTGGTTGAGCAAAGCCAGAGGAGTCTCAGCCGTCTTTCTCCGGGATGGGGAGGTGGCAGCGGTGGGGGCAGGCACTGTCTTTGCCTTCCTTCTGTCTCTCACAGACTTCACACATAAACCAGCAATTGAACAGTTGCTCTCTGCTTGCTTTGTTCTCAGCACTGTTAGTGACCTGCTCATAACATCTTTACTTAGTTCCAGAGAAATGGTGAGAGCTGAAGAGGGGCTCGGCAGGTACGCTCACCTGCTGCTCTTGCTGAAGACCAGAGTTCAGTTCTCAGCACCCACATCACACAGCTGACAGCCCCTTTTAACTCCAGTTCTAGGAGATCCAATGCCCCTGCCTGTGTTTGTGTGTGTATGTGTGTGTGTGTGTGCACATATATATGTATATGCATATGCCTATACATATCCCAATATACTATAGGCAGAGGCCGGTGGATATCTGCAGTTTACAAGCCAGCCAGGGCTACACAATGAAACCTGACTCAGAAAAAATACTACTCTTTCTTTTTGTAAAATGACTTCTGGGCTGGTGAGATGGCTCAGTGGTTAAGAGCACTTACTGCTCTTCCAGAGGTCATGAGTTCAAATCCCAGCAACCACATGGTGGCTCACAACCATCCACAATGAGATCTGATGCCCTCTTACAGGGTGTGTGAAGACAGCTACAGTGTACGTACATGTAATAAATAAATAAAAACCTTTAAAAAATGACTTCTTACCAAGTGTCTGTACGTACATGTAATAAATAAATAAAAACCTTTAAAAAATGACTTCTTACCAAGTGTCCAGCTTACAACTTTTGCATGAGTTCCCTTTTTATTTAGATTAAGTTCTCAATAAAATGTGTCCATCATTTTTAGGTTGTTGTCCAGGTAACCTTTTAGATTAGAAAGTAGCTGTGGGCTCCCAGGTTCTTACCACTTAGAGGAATTTCAGCTTTTAATATCTACTGCCCCATGACTACACGAAGTTGGTTGTTGTTTTTTTTTTGGAGTGGGGGGAGGTCAGCAAAGCTGTTTAAGGTCACCTCTGTTCTGCTCTGCTGTATAACTCTGAATGCCAGACTTGAACAGCTTCAAAGTGGTGCCTAAGTCCGTGTTTTAAAGTAAGTAGATTATTTTGGGAAAAAGAAGTCACCATTTAGGCCCAGTTTGTGGCTCAGTGACAGAGCTGGTCCTTGTGTGCAGAGCACTGGGCTCAGTCCTCAGCACCAGTCAGATAATAAAACAGTCACCATCCACACACATATGTACCTATACATAGCCGTCACCGTGTTGTGTTCATTGTACCTATTTTCTTATTCTGGAGTCCCAAAATAAATATTTCATAACATTTTATATATAGATTAATGTCTGAATATGTAGAACCACAGACTGAATTGTGGCTAAACTACATGTTTATAACACACTACAGTGCTTTACTTGAAATGTATGGTTCCATTTGCACTCTAACATCAAAATAAGTTTAATTTCTAAGCCTTCAGAAGTTACTCTTTAGTCTCTTTTCTGTCTCCCTCAGGAAAATTCGGGAACCTCGGGGACTACCTGGAGCTGGCTAACAGATTTCCTCAGCAGGTCTGGGAAGAAGCCCGGCAATTTTTCTTGAAAAAAGAGAAAAAATAAATGTTTTTTAGCTAATTCTGTATTTGAGTACCTTTGTTAGTGTTTGCCATTGTTCCTCAGGGAACCTCTGGTCTCTTTATCCTCTCTGCTGTAGATAGGCTCCTCTTTGCCTTGTTTATAAAGACTGTACATACTGGACTGTCCTTCCTAATTTTGCAAATTGAGTTTGTTTCATTTATGCACAATATTTTGGAATTTGTTTACTTTCATGCTGTGTAACTTGCAATTGTAATATGGGTAAAATTAGACAAATCTCATTCTTGTAATGAAATAACACAATTTTCAGTGTTGACTTTTCACATTAAAGCAGTACAGATTTGAGAAAGTGTTAAGAATTTATAAACCCTCTTCTAAGTTTTTCCTCTAAAACTTGGAGTTAAGACCTGTGTAACTAACACTTTCATTAAGCCTTGGGACTGTTTGAAATTACAGCGCCTAACTACTGGTGGGGAACTTCAAGGGTGGATAGCACGGTGAACTATTAGCGTTGCTGAGCTAAATTTAGCCTCTAAAATCATTTTTTTTTAATGAAGGAGCATCAAGTATTTTCTTAAATAGTTTACTTGAAACAACACGGAGGAAAAGAAACAGTGAGGGTGGCCATGTCTCTGAATAACAAGCCCTCCTGTGCATGCAGCTCCCGCAGGGCTGGGCCACAGGGGGCCCTCTTAACCCACCCAGTGGGGAGCCCGAGTGACATTGGTAGCAATTACCAACAAAGATCTAGCTGCGGAAAACTGACCCAAAAACCTAAAGATTGTCACAGGAAGCTGAACAACACAATAAATCTTGCCTTTCTTACGGAAAAGCAAACTTACTTAACATTCAAGCACTTGTTTTTTGAACCTCATGGCGCTACAGTGTTTTGTATGTTCAATGTTTTTTACTGTTTTACAAATCAAAAGAAAATAAAGAGGTCTGATGTAAGCCATGCTAAGCACTGCGGGTGCTCCTGCTTGGACCTATACACCCCATCTTGGGGGTGGGGGGAATGCGGGGGAGGGATAACTAAAGTTGCAGGTACTGGAGGGAGCGGGTAGAGGGCGGTCCTTGCTGGGTGGGGGTGGGGGCATCAAGTATAATGTTTCCTGCGAGACGATTCGAGATGGAATATACTTCTTATCTGCTAGGAAATTTGCCCAAAAAACCCATAAATAATAGAGACAACCGTGATTAACCTTCCAGAATTCACAATTAAACAGGTAACCGAAGGGTCCCGCTGCCTTCAGTGGGACGTGCCCGCTACAGTCAGCAGTGCCCGCGGTTTCCACCTGGGGCCGTGGCGCACTGCTAACCCAGAATTCAAACCCGACGTGGAAAAGCTGCTTGGACCCCAGGAGCAGCAACAAACCCAATTTTGCACCCGGGGTAATAAAATTACCCCTAAACTCTTCAGAGCCAGTTATTCCCAAAGCCCAAGGGCACGTCAGAACCGCTGCTTCCTAGGGAGTCTTCAGGCGCAGCTGCTCTCCCGCCTCCCTACCGCTCCACCCCCGCCAGACTCTGGCAGTCGCTGCATCTTGACCTTGGATCAGGAACTCGCTTCCACGGGGCCTAGGTCAAGAACTGGCTCTAACCTTAACCTCTGTGTTCTTCAGCCCTTTGCAGCTGTGAAAAACACCTGCATCTTTCCTTGGCTCCTGGACCGGCTCTGGTGGATGTCATTGTCCTCTAGGTCCCCAATCTTCCCCCTTTCCGCCCCACACTTCATGTACACATCCAGCTTCCCAACAGGCGAACTTTTGCCCACCCGAGTCCAATTGATGAGCCACTCTCCCTCTAGGTGCTGACCTTGACCAAAGGCTGGATCCACCAAGCTTTGCTGCCTGGCTGGGGAGGATTGCGGCAGAAGGCACAAAGGCTCCTGCCCCCACATCTGGATCTGAGTGGAGTACTACTTCCTTGTGCCCTTTCTTGCTCCCAGCACTACTCTCAACCTAGCTCTATTTATCTGTATTTTCCATGCCCAGACTTCATCAACAAGGTGCTAGCCTGTAATTGGTCACACAATCCTCGTTATAGCACTGAATCTCAGCATTTTAAAGCAAGTTTACTTATACATCAATCAGACCCACAGTTAAAAGCCTCTAATCTGCCCATGCATCAGCTTAATAAACTCCGAATTTCCTGCTTTTATCGCAGCTCCGCTGGGAACTTATTTCTTTGCAAAAACTTACTCGTCCATTGTTTTCTCCCTCTGGCAGACTTCTATTCAGCTTTTTTTTTTTTTTTTTTTTTTTGGTGTACACAGCTAACTTCGGGGCAGTGTAAGCCCACCCCTAGGCAAAAGTGGCAGAGTCTGGCATTTGGTATTTGGGGAGGGCAGTCTTAGAACAATGGTTCATTTAAACCCGGTCTTCCCAGCTCTGACAAGACTGAGCTTTAACCTACTCCGCATTCAAAACTGAAAGACTGATTTCTGTCCCGCACTCATCTAATATCAAAATTCAATGGGAATGCTGCCACAAGGACTCTGAATTTCCCAGAATTATACAGCCTTACAATGTGTACTAAATTTGTGTGGCCAGAAATTTGTCTGTTTCTGGGATCCTTTTCCTGCCTCAATTCAACAGAGCTAAGCAAATAACTAGTTAAGTCTTCTGAGGAGATCGTCCTCTGAAGGGAATCATGTTAGTAGTTCCATTTTCCACCCATCGCCCCTTTCCTTGAACTAAGATTTTCCTACAGATCTGGATCTCTCCTGTTCAACATTAGCGTAAAGTACAAAAGTTGTAATTGTCACAGGTAATTTAATTTACTAGGAAATCCCTACTTCATTACAAAAGATGTTTAAAGATGACCTGGGAGCCAGTAAAATTGACATTTATTAATGTAACTGACTGTAGACCTGATACCTTGCCAAGGACATTACAAGCCTTTCCTCCTGGGAACTCGAGAGCACCACACACTCCTCTGAGTAGGTAGTGGGAGAAAGAGCTTGTGATCACTCACATATCTCTGCACCACGACCAGTTTACCTGGGTAATTCCGTCAAAGTAATAAAAGGCACACCAAAGTGTCCAATGGAAATGGGTTGTTGGTTGGCTTAAGCTATAAATAATGAGGCGAAAGGTCATAGTAACTAGGCCGGTAGATATTTGTAAAATACTGCACCCTGTCCAAAGCAAAAATTCAGAGCTAATAATGAAATTCCTTAAGGACCCATTCCTTTTTAATAGAAAGTAAAAAACAATATTCTGATAGGCACGTTTCCAAAAGTAAGATTTATTATAGTTTCGTTTCCTATCCAATAGCCAACCAGATGCAAAACAGAGAAATCTGTATTTCTGCTTGGAAGGGAATGGTCTAAGTTAAGGGAATGACGCCTCAAAGAACCAGCTTTAAGAGGTAAGCCTGGCCCTAATTAACTCTGTGTGTATATAATATAGATACACAGAAAATATATGTGTGTGTATATGTACATTTGCAGACCATCTCCTAAATCCCCAAGAAAGAGAATGTTCCCTTTTTTAAAGTGCTAGCATCCCCTTGACTTTCAGGAAGTAAACTATAAATATGGTTCAAACCTGTTATCATTTTCTTTAATTGCCAGGAACCGTTCCATCCTTAAATGGGGCTGTGGGGTGGATGGGTGTGAAACTGCTAGACAGCCCAAACAACTGCTTCTAACAGAGGGTTTCTACTCCTCTAGCCCAGACTGCTGCTTTGGGCACCTTTGTCATTTGTCGCTACCGATAAGCTAGAGTGGTAACTGTCCCCCCCACCCCCGCTCCAGTAGAACACTACACCCCTTCAAAAAAAAGCAAAAAACAAAACCTGGACATAGAGGGGACGACCTGTTGGCCATTTAACTGTGGAAGCAAGAAAATAGAAACGTCAGATTGTTGCAGGATGGTGGTTTGGCTGGTAGCTGGCAGCTTTCTGAACCAGCCAAGGGAGGGCAGAATGCTGGCTTTGGGAAAGAACTGTCCCAGACTGCCAAAGGGTTAAATATTTGTAGAGGGTAAAACCTGAGCCTGCCGAGATTTTTTTTTTTCTCTCTGCTTGCCCGGGGGCCTGCTGCAGATTCTGTATCTCTTGGTTATTTCCTGCGATCACTAAAGCCAGTTTTCAAGAAAACAAGTCGCAGGGGTTTGAAATGTCACACCAAGTGACCTGGGCACGACATATCCAGGGGCCATCCCCCGCCCCCTCCATTTCGGGCCTGGAAAGAAAATAAACCAAGGACACGCCAGACTGGTTCTGGGTGGACTTATTTTCTCCTGCAGCCGCGATCCTAGCGGGGGCTTGTTGTGGCTCCTTCAGTGTATCGCTTGCAGGTGATGCCAAACGCAGATAAGGAGCCGCCCCGGCCTTCTCCTCTGTCTAGACGGGGGAATTAATAAATGCAGCGAGATTGATCACGTCGCGCATCCACTCTAGGGACAACACGGAGGAAGCGCCGCAGAGCCCGGGGACGCAGGGTGGGCTTCGCTCCCTAAACCAGTCACCCCACAATCCGGCACCAGTCTCCAAGCATCCTCGCCTCCCGCAAGGAGCGCTCCGGCTTCCGGAAACGCCTCGCAGTTCACACTGCACCGGAACCGCCCTGCCCCGCCCCGTCGGCACCCAATAAGTGTCGGGCCCGCCCCGTAGACGCCCAATCTCCGTCGGGCACGCCCTCGGCGCCCAATCAGGGTCTGGCCTGCCCGTCGGGCGCCGATAGAGCCGCAGCACGAGGGCGGGTGGAGCCGGTGAAGCTGAAACGAGGCCCACTCGCGAAGTGGCGTTCGTCTGGCTCCCGTGGCGCCAACAGCACACAGGCGCGGCATGGCATCGGGTTGTTTTTTATTAAGATCAAAATATTCGTCCCACTATTCGCCTCACAATAAATAACAATAACTTACGTTTGTTCGGCAAAGGTTCTCACTGTCCTCCGTCGACTGATAATTTAAAACACTTTTTAAAAGACAGTCTGGTTTCTACTCTGTTCGGCAGTCATGCGCTTTGGGGGTTATGTCTGTTTCTTGGAATTGTCCCGTCCTCGCTGCCAGGTCCAGAGCAAAGCCTCGGGT